TTTGGGTCCGGTCATGGGGCCTGAACTCTGGGCCTGGGCGCTGTCCCTCAGCTCTTCAGCTCAAGGCTAGTGCTCTACCACTTGAGCCACAGCACGTCCAGCTTTTTTTTTCTTTTTGCTTATATGGTGCTGAGGAATCCAACCCAGGGCCTCAGGCATTCAAGGCAAGCGCTCTACCACTGAGCCACCTTCCCAGCCTGCCTTTGTGTTTTTTACTAGGCAAATGCACTACCACTTGAGCCATTCTTGTAGCCACAGAATAATATTTAAGTTTATATTGTTAGAAAGGTGATGTACGAAGGGGTTACATTTACATAAGTAATCCATAAGATAATTTTCAAACTACTTCATTGAAATATGATACACACAAAGCTGTGCATACTTGGGCTGGGAAGGTGGCTCAGTGGTAGAGCGCTTGCCTTGCACGCACGGGGCCCTGGGTTCAATTCCTTAGCACCACATAAGCAAAAAGAAAAAAGTTAGAAGTGGCACTATGGCTCAAGTGGTGGAGCGCTAGCCTTGAGCTGAAGGGCTGAGGGACAGCGCCCAGGCCCAGAGATCAGGCCCCACAACCAAACCCCCCCCCCAAAAAAAAGCTGTGCATTCTTCATATATTTAATTTGATAAGCTTGGAGATCTGCTTCTAGTATTTTGTAGGGGTGGGAGTGGGGTACTGGGGGTTGAACCCAAGACAAATGATCCACCACTGAGCTACCTCCCCAGTCCCTACCAGTAATTGTTTTGTTTGTTTGTTTGTTTTGGCCAGTCTTGGGGCTTGAACTCAAGGCCTGGGCACTGTCCCTGTACTTCTTTTGTTCAAGGCTAACACTCTACCACTTGAGCCACAGCACCACTTTCAGCTTTTTCTGTTTACATGGTACTGAGGAATGGAACCCAGGCTTTCATGCATGCTAGGCAAGCACTCTACTACTAGCTCACATTCCCAGCCCCTGGTTCTTTTGTTGTTGTTGGTGGTGGTGGTGGTTGTAGGGCTTGAACTGAGGGCCTGGACACTGTTCCTGAGCTTTTGTGCTCAAGGCTAGCACTCGGCTTTGAGCCACAGCTCCACTTCCAGTTTTCTGGTAGTTAATTGGAGGTAAGAGACTCATGGACTTCCTGCCCAGGTTGGCTTTGAACTGAGATCCTCTGACCCCAGCCTCTTGAGTAGGATTATAGGTGTGAGCCACCAGTGCTTTCCTAGTAATGCTGTTTTTGGTTTGTTTTTTTTTTTTGTTTGTTTCTTTGTTTTTGTTCTTTGTTATGGGGCTTGAACTCAGGGCCTGAGCTCTTTTGCTCACTGCTCACACTCTACCACTTTGAGCCACAGTGCCACTTCTGGTTTTCTGGAGGGAGGTAAAAGTCTCAATGGACTTTTCCTGCCCAGGCTGGCATTGAACAGCAATCCTCTGATCTCAGCCTCCTGAGTAGCTAGGATTACATGTATGAACCACCAGTTCCTGGCGGTAATTCTGGTTAAGATAGATTTCACAGGCTCAGGTTGGCTTCAAACTTTTGATCCTCCTGCTTTAGCCTCTTGAGATCTGGGACTGTAGGATATGTGTGTTATGCCCATCTCTACAGTAATTTTTATTTGTGAACGTCCCTAAGTGGTGGGGCTTTAGTATTTGGATTCTGGGGTTTAGGGTTATAAGAGGTAAAGAAGTGATATGCTAGCCTAATTAATGGCAAACTACAGAAGGCAGGGGTTAATGGCAACTAAGGACCTACAATTTGCTCTAAGATTGTTGCCCTTTTTTTTTTTTTTCCAATGTAGCTGAGCAAAGTGAATGTGTCCTTAGAGGGATGTCAGGAAGCAACCAGGCCCTGGGTACCACTGAGAGATAGAGGTTAGCCATTCTCTGACTGTGGTCAATAGGAAGTTATTATATCTGTGCAGGTGGAAAAGACCAGGGTTGGTCTCCATCAGTGTGAAGGAATCCCAGAGCTTGTGTGTCACTTAGGCAACTCCCCTTTTCTCTAACATCAAAAGCATTAGTAAGAAGCTGCAGTGTAGGGCTGGGAAGGTGGCTCAGTGGTAGAGCACTTGCCTTGCATGCATGAGGCC